AGCAGACCCACTGGGTCCGGGATACCCGTAGATCCCAGGAAACATGGTAGCGCTCGAAATATCGTCGATGTTGCTGAATCCGTTGATACCAGCGTCGGTGAACCCACTGGAGGTAGCAGACTGGTTGACATAGGAGTACCCGTCCAGGGGAGTGGCAGTGAGCGTGCCAAGCGGAGCAAACCCACCGGGGCCGGGATACCCGTAGATCCCAGGAAACATGGTAGCGCCCGAAATATCGTTGACGTTACCGAATTCGTTGATACCAGCGTCGGTGAACGCAAGGTTTATGGGCGGGGAGCCAAGATAGTTAGACTGGGCAGGCAGTGTAGCGTTCAGACCGCTAGAAAGTCCACCGGAACCATCGAGGAACCGGAACACATCACCCGATCCGTTGTTGTAAGTGTCCGCATCACGAGCCGTGATAGCCTCGTCGAACGGGGCAGGGGTCTGTAGTACAAGGCTGCCAGTGGATACGGACGCAGACTCTGCGGTTCGGTGAACTTTCATGTGCCGTTTCAGCCCGTCCTTCCGTGGAAAAGGGCGCCCGGGGCCAGAAACATGTCGAGCGCATCCAAAGACCGGACACCAAAATTGCTGTGTCCGCTCGTGGATTGAGTTGATGTGACGCTGTCGGTCATGCTCGTGGGCGAAGGTCTTGTGGCACCCTTGCCAATTGCAAGGGAACTTCGTGGGCCTAGCGTCCTTCTCGATGCGGCTAGAGGACGTGTCATTGGTGTAACTGGTCCGAGAAGGAGCGGTGGCTTACCTGTGCCCTTGCTTAGGCAGGGGGAGCCGGGGAGATTGGGTGATGTGAGAAGAGGCATACCTGCTTGAGAGTTAAAAAAAAAACCAGATAATCCCTACCCCAATTCGGCCCTGCCATCAGTACAGGGTAGGGCTGGACACGAATATTCGACTATTCGTATTCGTACGAATATTCGTAGTCGAATACGAATAAAATTTAGAATTTCCGCTTACTAATATTCGTACGAATAATATTCGCATTATTCGTAATTATTCGTAATTATTCGTCTATCTCTGAAGCTATTTCCATGTATCTCGCATCGGAGAGATGGTCGACAGAGAGCTTTAAGCTGGGGTCACTTGGCTTGCTGAATCGTCAGGAGTGATCAATTCGACGCTATTGATATGCTTTGTATCTCTTAGAGCTCAAATCCTCCAGATCGTGTTCGGGTAAACAAAAGTCGCGACTGTTGGGCATTCATTCATTGGCTCGGCTTTTGCCGAATAAGTCTTGGCATTATTTACGAATATTCGCGAATAATACGAATAAAACGTCTCAAAACTTAGTCGAATACGAATAATCGTTCAAGAGGAAAAGTCGAATACGAATAGCCAAAATCCTTATTCGTGTCCAGCCCTAGTACAGGGCCGCTCTTGCTGGATGACGTGTCGCGAGGATGCCATTGGAGAATCTCGCTGGTGCCCTGAACAAGTAGGGCAATGGTTCGCTTGGTGGAATGATATGCCAGCACGAATAGTGATGGGGAAGGGAACCGTAGAATAAATAGCCAAGTCGTTTGACCGTGAAACGAGGGGGAGCAACTGCATTTATGTCAAATTACTCGAGAGAAATCTGTCCAGTTCCGGACAGTACACGCCCACCCTACTAATACCTTTTACTGTCCTGCTCCATCCACACACTACAACCTGCCATTTGCGGCCCTTTGCCAACAAAGATATCTTGCAACAAAGGTCACCTTCTGCCATGCAGACGAAGTCAACAAAACTCCCAGCGACCAGACTACTATATTCGTAGCACACGACTATACAAGTACGCCGGCGGTATCCCTCATCGGGGATATTCTCGCCTTCTGCATAGGTCTGCCCTTAGACCGAAACTAGAAACTTGGTATCCCGCGTCCAGATATGAGCCCTCGGCAAAACGATACCTCTGGCGCTCGCTACCTGAAATGTAGCCTCACCGGACTGCTCAAGTGTGACCAATGCTTAAAAACCTTTCCTACGAAGGGGAAATTCAGGTTCGAAAATATCGCCATTATCTCGAGAGGCACTCGCTAATTGCTTCCCAGCCGCCATTATAATAAACATACAAAACCCCATCGGTGCAACGACTGTGGGAGAGGATTTGGACTCAATGGTGATCTTAAGCGGCATGCCAAAATACATCAACTCGTCAACTTTCCCTTCCACTGCAATGTTTCCGGATGCCGGTTCAAAGGGGCTACGAGAAAGGATAATCTGCGAAGACACATTCGTGCCCGCCATAGACTTAATGAGTTCCACGGGGAAAAGATACAGCAAGAGGACATCGAACCACTTTGCAACCAGGCACAATTGGAGGTTAAGGAACTGATCGGCGACTCTACTGTGCCCGTAGCCGTGCAATCCGGGAACGATATAGTACTGCGCTCGCTTATCGATCTCGGGTTCGACCTTACGACAAGATTCGATCACGGCAGAACGGCACTTCACATTGCCGCAGTCAAAGGCAGTGATGTTGCCGTACGAATACTCCTTAATGCCCGGGCCAACACCGAAGCTAGAGACGATCTAGACAGAACCGCACTGCATGAAGCAGCATATCAAGGACATCATAACGTTGTGGATCTACTTCTGCAGGCAGGAGCAGGGATTCATCATAGGGATCACAGAGAGGACACCGCGCTCCATCTCTCTGCTGCCAGCGGTCATAGTCTTGTTACAAGGTCTCTTCTGCAGAAGGGAGCTAAACCAGATGCACAGTCACGGAGAGGAGAAACGGCACTATACCGAGCGATCCAGAATGGACACGAAGATGTTTCCAATCTACTGCTAGATCATGGGGCATCCCCCACAATTGTGTCAAATGCGTCGCGGGCGGCACTGTACTTTGCGTGCAAGGCCGGAAGCGAGAAATTACTTGAACGGCTGCTTCGAGAAACGCCGGATGGACCAAGCATGGCTCGCAAACAGAGGTTCCTCGTTCGTGCAGTCAGGCATGGCAATGAAGATGCGACAAGGGTGCTTCTCAAAGTAGGGGCGAATGTTAATTTGAAAGGACATCAAACCGGCTGTACTCCGCTCGAGTGGGCGGCGATGAGAGGAAATGAATCCATGATGCGACTGCTTCTTGAAAATGGACCAACCGTCAAAGGCCTCACCGGCGCACTTCAATGGGCCGTAGTACGGGGTAATGAGAAGGTGATACGTCCACTTCTCGAAAGCGGGGCAGACGTGAACGAGGCGGACAAATGGGGCAGGACAGCGCTTCATACCGCTTCTAATCGCGGCCATACAGACATCATCCGTTTACTTCTTACGAGCGGGGCTGACGCAAACCGAGCTGACAACGGGGGGCCAAACACCGCTCTACCAAGCTTCTAAAGACGGCTATACAGACATTGTCAGTTTACTCCTCGAGAGCGAGGCAGATGTTGTGCGATAATGGAGATTTCGCCAAGTCAGGTGATTTGTATAGGGATACAATGGGAAAGCACCGTGAGATACAAAGAAGAAGGCGTATAGATTTATCTTGATCCTAATGAGTGTATCAACTAGAGGGATATGTTGAAATTAGGTGAAATTACTTGCTTGATTATTCTAAGATGTAGAAGACGCTGGAAAGATTTGCGCCGAGGAATTCAACCAATCTCCGCATCGATGGACGAAACCGGGCCGAGTAGCAGGAAAAACTCCTGCTTATTATCGACGAGATCAGTATGCTGGGTGCGCGGACGCTGTATATAATGAACGAGCAACTGTACAGACTTCGAGGGTATACGGACGACTTTGGCGGCATCCCGATTATTATCTTCTGCGGGGATTTCCGGCAGTTCCGTCCGGTCCAAGAGCGGTCGATCCTTCTCCCTAGCCATGCTATTTCGTAGACCGACGATACATCCTTCCGAGCAGAGCAGAGGCACCAGCACGATAAAGCGCACGCGCTATAGAACAAGTTTACCATAGTCGTGATGCTCGACGAACAGGTCCGTGCGGCTGGAGACCCACGACTCCAGCAACTCCTTAGGCGGATCCGGCACGGCGTACAAGATCAGTCCGATATGGATTTTCTGAACGACACGTGCTACCAGGAAGGTCGACGCATCCCATGGGAGTCCGGCATAACGGTAATCACGCCGCTGAATCGGAACCGCTGGAATCTGAACCTCGAAGCTATGCTATCCTTCCAACGCCAAAGGCAAGGCGTACTTCGGATTTTCATGTCTGAGCATAAGTGGAAAGATGGCCAGCCTACGGAGGAGGAGGCCCTGATGCTGTTAAGTCAGGGGGACGACAGCGCCGTTCCCGTCCCAGCTATCTTCATGTTCGTCCCGGGGATGCCCATCGCCGTAAACCAAAACACCCACCAAGGCCTGAAGCTGGTCAATGGCGCCCGCTATACGGCATTAGACGTCGTCCTCGACCAGGCATTCCCCGGGCATCGCGTCAACGCCGATACCATACTCTACTTCGGGCCTCCGGCCGGGATCGTGCTGGCGACCGAGACGACGAGAGAGTGTAACTTCGTCGGCATGGCAGCCGGCACCATCCTCCTAACGCCCGTCAGCGTCAAAATTGACTGCCAGAGAAAGCGGCCGTAGCAGATGCACGACGTCAGCCGGCGAGGATTGCCGTGCGCAGCGGCGTTCGTATACACGGATTATAAGGTGCAAGGAAAGACGTTGGACCGAGTGGCGCTGGAACTTCGCGGCGCGAGGACGACGAACGTCGATGGCCAGGCCGTCCCCAGTCAATGCGATGCCTACGGCCTATACGTGCAACTGTCGCGCTGCCCATCGCTAGATGGGATTATGCTCCTGTCTCGAGCGCGGGAAAGAGACATTATCGGCAATCGAGTGCCCGATAACATAGTCGCCGCCGAGAATAGGCTAGAACGACTAAGCGAGGGGACGATTCGAGACGCAGAACGTTGGGACTGGTCATCAGAGGAGGGACAGACGGTATATTAAGGGGAAGCAAATGCGGCCTAGATATATTAAGTAAACCAGGCATTGGCTAGCGGAGCGCAAATAGAGCGAGGGACATTGAAAACCGACCCTTTGTAACATTGATCGCTTAACGATGGGGAGACCTCGCCTTCTGTTTTTCTCGCATCCCTCCTCTTTTTCTCGAGACTTTATGATCGGAGTCAGTTTCGGCGATCAGAGCCAAGTCTCGACGGTCGGAGTTAGTCTTAACGACCGGACTTAGTCAGGCGCAGAGTCAGAATCCGGCGGTGTCTGCCGACGCGAAGTGGACGCTGTGGAGCGTGTTGTAGTTTCATAGTTCGTTCCAATCATATCATACGGGCTAAAGCGGGCGGCGACGGCGATGTCGACGAAGGGAACGAAGGAATGAATGGATTCCTACTCCCTCCAGCCAATCGCTCTAGTCGATGTGGGAAACTTGCTGACTGATATATACATGTCTGGGCATGCCATTTGGATTGTCGACGAAGGTTGGGGTAGGAGGAGTACAAATCACGTGAAACTCACGTGAATATCATGTGATTTAAGGTCTAGTTAGAAGTTTGTTGTCTCCCCTCGTGCGACCAAAGACCTTACGGAACTTCGTTCCTCCAGGCATGCACGTATTCCAGACAACGTCACTACTAGGGCTGGACACGAATATTCGACTATTCGTATTCGTACGAATATTCGTAGTCGAATACGAATAATCGTTCAAGAGGAAAAGTCGAATACGAATAGCCAAAATCCTTATTCGTGTCCAGCCCTAGTCACTACGTGTCTACGTCCTTGACACTAGGGTTTGACAGCAAATCATGAAACTCGTCGCTAACTGCTTGCTCAGGACTCATCAAGATATGGGTGTATAATCCAGCTGCAATCCCCTTTAACAGGTTCGGATTCGTGCGCTTGGTCTCCGCTGTAACAAGGCAAGGCCTGACCTCTTCTGCTCCTCTCCAAGCTTGCTTAAAGGAATCAACTGGATAACAATTCTGCCAATAAAGATTGGGATAGCATGGAAGATAATGCTCTTCCCAAAACCAGTCTTAGCAGAGACAATAGTATCCCCATGGCGAAAAACAATTCGTCGAAGAGCCCGAACCTGGTTGATACGTGGGAGCCGACCACCCAGGAGTCGCTGCAAACCATGGAAAGTAAGATCATGCTGGTATTTGATGTTCTTTCGTATTAGACATGTCTTGACTAGATCTTGCAGTACCGAGCATAACTCTTTCTCTGGTGTCGTTGCAATTATGGATATCCGTTCTTCAGTTGTTTTCTCGATAGGAAGTGGTTGTACAGAGGCTGGATTCTGGTATGGGGAGGTTTCACGCTGATGAGAGCGGCCTTGCCGGCGCTTCACTCGCATGGAGGCAGATCTGGAGATTGAGCTTTCACATATAACGACACGACAAGTAGTTTTAAAACACTAGTTATAGATTGAACAGTTAGCAAATTGATATTTAAAAGCCATAGGACGGTTTAACAAACCCTTATCTATATTTCATCAACTTTTGGAGCCCGCGCAACTTTCTCGTATGATGTTATTCGCCATCTCGTCATTTTCACCAAATCTCACCATTCACGCGTCCATTCAGGTTTTGCAAGAGTTTCTCAGACGGTATCCAAGACAGTTGCAGTCAGCTGAGTGGCGTTCACGCTAAACATGGGGCTAATCTGGTTATGGTTTAGCTTAACCAGAGTCATGGCTTGGATACCGTCTGAGCCCAAGCTGAGATAAGCTGGAGCTGTATTTTGTCACGGAATATCTGTGGTTCTTGGCATTTCAGCACGGTTTCATTCCGTATTCGATTCTATCCCTAAGTTTCTTTTCTTTTTGGGAAAAGGATCACTATTGTAAATCATAATAGCTGCAGGAAGAGTCTGTTTTCGCAGGATTCCTGCTCTTCAATGTCAAGATCAACCTATCTGCGTTGTTTTGGCATCTAACGGTGTTTTCCCACTATATCGCTGTACCAATGACCTGATTAAGCGAAGCCGCTATTTATCTCACATATTTCAAGCTCCAGATATGTCTTGGCAAAGTGTTCATACTTCGAGTTTTGATCAAGCTCCAGATATGAACGCTTTGCATGTCCCACCTGCGAACATATACAGTCCCAAGCCAATCAAGCGCCTGGGCTCTTTGGGTCCATTCTTAGACTGTAGATCCGGCAAGCGCCTTGGGAGTGTTCGTGTTTGGTTGCGTCCAGGATCGTGGGACCAGGATCGTGGGAGAGGAGAGTATGTGTGCGAACAGGAGCATGGGGACAAGATCATGAGAACTGGATTGTGCGCACAGGGTCGTGAGAACTGGATGGTCGTGGGAACGTCGTGACCAGAGCCAAATTTCCGACCATCACCTCGAAGGCATCCGTGAGCGGTGCCAGTTTACAGAGCTCGAACAAGTTCGGAACGCAATTACACTCCTTTTCGGAGAGAAAAGCCTCCGTCTTAGGGATATTGGGGAGCGACTCATTGATATTATTGTAAGGGAGAGCGTCACGAAATTCCTTCCCTACAACAGCTCAATTATCATAGGCCCAGCTTTATTTGGCCGTATACCGCGTTGCGTGTCAGATATGCCGTTGCACGAAAGAGTGTCTTCATCGGCTCCTTAAATGTGTCCCGCATATTAAAGCCAGCTTTGAGGATACTGGAGTAGTTAGCGTTGAGCAGACACATCTGGAGGAGCTTATCCAGGAGTTCTCAGTTCATAGACTTGCGTTGCTCTCACATCCAGGATCTGCAAGCGGTAAGAGAGCAATTACTATTAAGCGTGCCTCACTCGGTGCATGTCTATTTATTAAAGAAGAAGTGTCGCATTACGCGGGGGTGATGATTAAGCAAGTTCGCTGCTTAAGCTCAGTTACTGTGTAGACACAACGCATGTTGATATTGACGATTCCCATTCTATCGAAGAGTGTCCTCTAGCTAGCTAAACCGTTGAAGATAGGCAAATACATAGGAGAAGAGTGAGCAGTCCTAAATAGGCTTAGCCTAGGGGTACGGTAATGGGCAGAGAATGGAATGTTAGGTGGCAGTAAAACCAACAGGGGCATCTTGCGACAGGAAGATCATCTGATTTAGCTTTATCCCGCACGTTTCGTGCCAGAAATAAAAACGACGTTGATCATCATGTCTACCCCTTGACAGGCAGTTCGAACAGCGTCCAACTGCGCTTGGGCGTTAGATCGCGAGTAGCCGCCCTCGCATATCAAGAAATGTCGAATCATATCCAACCCATCCACCCATTTCCATTCATCTACTGGTATGGGGATTTCTCCAACCTTGATATCGTCAAAACCTGTCTCCAGCATAAGGCCGTCCAGGCAATCGGCGTCACGAAGGTCGATGCCCAGCTGCCGCAGTAGGCAGGAGATCTCCGATTGGAAGGCTGATAGTATGTTGTTTCCGTCGGGAATTTCGGGAAAGAGGTTCGGGATCTCCAATTCAATCCGCCCACCTTGTGATAATCCGCTTAAAAGAGAACTCAAGTTAGCCGGGAAGCTTTGACGGAGGAGAAGTGACATACTTGTACATGTTCTATAGCGCGGCGCGCCAGCATTTCGGATAGAAGTTGCGCAAATGTATAACATCGTAGTGCTTAACCAGCTCGACTTCGGCATCGTCAAGACGGAACTCCAGATTTGTAGGCAGTTTGTCGTTAACAATGGGGACTATGTCAATAGCCTCGACGGTCGAATTAGGATTCGCTATAGCGACTTTTCCATGTCAGCTGCCGCTACGGAGGCTCCAGATGGACTGACTTACAATCTGTTGCCCAATTCGCTTCAGGTCCGGCTTCCATGTCAATGACCCTTAATCCCCCCGAGTTGGGGTATGGCCCAGCGAGGAACCGCATGTAGCTCTGTAATATACGGTGGCGGAGTGTGTCTAAGCGCCGGCTGCTGAGATTGGTGGGGAACGGATACCCGGTCTCTAGGAAGACCAAGCCACATGGGCCGTCATGCTCGGTGTACCCGATCAAATCGGCCTCAGTTGAAGTATCAAAGGAGTTGTACGATTGAAGCGTGGTGCCACCCATCGATTCCGGCCCTTCTGAGCACTCAGTGTGTGGGGTCGACTCGCTTGCTGAGCACTCAGTGTTTGCCGAAGGCATCCCACGGCACACCCAAGATAATCTCTGATCGGGATGATTTGGAAGAATTTCGCGAACCAGACGGCGAACCAGAAGGCGATCCAGAAGGCGATCCAGAGTTCTTGAAAGAGGAGGGCATATGGACAAAATGAAAACAATCTACGGACATGAGAAGTTAATCGAGCAACCGCGGGTTGAGGGAACCGTACCTGTATGTCTCTGGAAGGGAATTGACGACCGCCATATTCATCATAGAATAGAGAATCCGCAGTCCGCGAGAGATGTCGTGAGAGGAAGGCCACAGCACAGATCGCTGCTCCCGCTATAACTAAAAGATAACCAACCGAACGAATTGAGCGGACTGTTTGTAGATCATCGTGCTTGCGGCGCTGAACATATATGGCAAGATAGCAGACGACATCGACCAGAAGAGATAGAGTAGAGGCAACGACCATAGCCAGAGTCTTGCCAGTAATAGCGACGCTTACAAAGTCAGTGGGACTGTTAAACGATGGCCCAAAATGGGGTTCCAGTAGCAGTAGGTCCCTACGGCCCGAAGAGGAGGAAGCTGAGGAGGAAAGGCGGAAGAAGGCGGATACTGCACAAATAACGACTCGAGTATATAATTCCGCACGATAACGGCGATACGGTTACCTAAACACAGCTTTTCGCGGAGCCAGACTTTGACAGCGTCTGTCTCGCCCGGATAAGTCACTACCAGAGTCCACTATTCGTTCACCGGTTTCACGAATGCGGAGCGTTGTCCACTTGGAAAATGGGTTCTGAGAAGCTTAGTTGCGTTGGTAGCAAGCTCCCGAGCCCAGGGCTCGTCCGTCCCTATCTCTGAGGCCGGTGATGGCGACATCGCCGCTGCCAGAAAGAAGGGAGACACAAAAGAGATAACGAATTCCGAGATGTGGTATTATAGTAGGAGAGTGAATACCAAGAAAGGCATAAGAGGATACAAAGGATGAGAAGCAGAAGTCTGGTAGCTTTAACGAGGCGGTGAGGGTGCTGTGCGACCACGCGTTGGTGGGAGTGGATAGGTCCTCTAAAGGAAGCGTTGAGTCTCTGGACTACGGGATGCATAGCTGTGTGCATTCATGGACGGTTTATGTGGTCAACCAAGAATGGGATTCAGAGATGGCCGAGGTAGCTCTGGAGTGTGTAGGTAGACATGCATTATGTATAGATCTCAGGAGGCCTTCTATACCAGTATCTCCTCTCCAAATTCTTTACCTCCTCGTAAAAATCCGGATAGAGATAAGCCAGCCGCACCCTCTGAAATCCTATATCATGTGTACTCCTGCCCTCTATTACCGGATACCCATCATTAGCCTCGATGTCGTCCAGCTCATCCGGGTCATCGCCAGGCCAGTCAGCCTGTACCACATTTACGTATCCATCAACTGGATCGTTTTGCGCCAGAATATTGTCGATACTCTCTTTATCAACCTGAATAAAGTAGTCGTATTTCGGTCTGCTGAGAGCAAACAGAATTAAACTTTTCTCGTTCCTAAGTTGAGGTTCGGCGGCAATCGGCCCGCCGCCGGATCGCCAGGCAAGAAAATGTTTTCTTAGCTCTATGGTGCTTGCTTCATTGAAGCGCTCTCGATCAGACATAATAGGCCACTCCATAAACTTCATATGTTCCTCGTTCCCATGTACCTCTCGGATTGTCGATATTAGAGCCTCGTTAAAGATTTGAATAAATCGCTCCCATTTCACTTCCGAGTCGTACGTCGTTCTGTAGATACGCCAGCCCCATCGCTTTTGATTCTGGCCAAGGTACCACCACCGGATCTGTTCTAGTTTCCCAGCGGTAGTCCATAAGACTCCATATCTCTCCCGACAGAGCTTGTCTAGTTGAACTCCGTCGAGAGCGGTGATTGCATCGTCGGTTAATCCTAGGTCACCGACCGTAGACATGCGTCTAACAATTTCAGCTTCGTCGTCTATCCTGGTGTTCTGTCCGTAATTTTGGATAGGGGTAAAGCTTTGAGGTTTGTGAGGATAGAAAAAGGAGGCGACAAAAGATTGCTGGAGTTTGTGGGCGCTGCGGAGGCGGGCTCGGCTATTCATGTTCTAGGGCTGTCCGGCTATCTTGCGTAGAACTGGGGCCGTCAGGTGCTTCCCTTGGGGCGGTTGATTAATTGTATCTGTAACGAGCAGGAAGCCTCATAGACGAGCATATCTGGGATGACGGTTTTATTCGTGATATCGAATCTAAAGAAAGAAAGGAAAGAGAGAGAGAGATGGAGGCCTTATGTGGGGAACTGGGTAGGGTGACTAATTATACATGCAGTTCTCAAGCTAGGGAAGCTGGCCCGGAAACCAACTAGTGCATTCAGTGGATAATCATAAGTTACACACAATGATGATTAACAATATGTACATAGTCATGGTCGAAGCGTTATATCGATCCGAATAGAAAATATGCTGAGAGTTTGTTATTATGACTACGGATCGCAGGGCTCTGACTACTATGGTTTGAGGCATCAAGGGAATGAGGACAGCAATAGATCCAATACCCCGTAGTTGTCCTTCGTTCCTGTTACTAGCCTACTAATGGAGCAATCCTAGCGTGGTATATTTACAAGATCCAACTTCCAAATAGTCAAGTCCTTTTGCGTACAATCAACGATATAGCAAACTTTCCACCTCCTCCGCTATCGCCAACGAGCTCGTCAGCCCCGGACTCTCAATACCCAACAAGTTCACCCACCCCTCAAACCCCTCCTCCCTCTTGATATAAAAATCTAAGAACCCCTTCCCCTCCACCACCGACCCGGCCCTCCCCATCTTCGGCCGAATGCCCGCGTAATCGAGCGCGATCGCACCCTTGTCCACGCCCGGCAGATACGCTGAGATCTCCGCCAGCGCCGCCGCTAGATGCGCGTCTGAGACGCGATAGTCGGTGGGGTCGTCGACCCAGAGGACGTCGGGGCCGAAGCGGATGCGCCCGCCCATGTCGATGGTTAGATGCGTGCCCAGGCCGGCGATTCCGGGGCTGTGCGCCGGGTAGATCAGATGCGAGGGTTTCGGTCGCGAGGAGGAGTAGCTGTAGTATGAGCCTTTTGCATACGCGGGCGTGGTTTGGCGTTCGGGGGGGAGGAGAGTGTTGGAGAGGGGGATAGCGGACAGGCCGGCGGAGTTGATGAAGGTTTCGGTGGTGATCGTTGTGGTCTCGTTGCTGTCAGGCGATGAGACTTCGATTTGCCAACCTTTGGAGCCATGGTCGAGGGGAGTGACGCTTTCCACTTTCGATAAAAACGCCGTGGTCCCTCCCTTATCTTCGAAGTCACCCTGCAGGTACTGCATCAAGGAATGACTGTCAACAATCCCCGTCGTCGGACTCTCCAGAACGCCTGCTTCCGCGCGGACATCTGGCTCCCGACGTTTGGCCTCCTCCGCCGACACGAAATGCGTCGGGACGCCGATCTCTTTCGTGAATGCGTGCGTCTTCTCCAACTGCGCGAATTGTGCGTCATCTTGCGCAACGATCCATTTCCCGCAATTGCGGTAGGGGATGGAGTACTTCTCGCACAGCTCGTAGAGGAGGATCCTCCCGCGAACGCAGAGTTTGGTCTTCAAGGAATCCTTTCCATAGTACAGACCGGCGTGTATCACCTTGGATTGTCAGATGCGATCCAGCAAACACGGAAGAGGGCAACAAATGGGCTTATCCAACCTCCGAATTTCGACTGCTCGTCTCCGTCCCTACACCTCCATGCTTCTCAATCAAGATCGTATCGGCGCCTCTTGATTGTAGTTTGCGCGCGACAGCGAGACCAACCACTCCACCTGCGACGGTCGTCAGCGCACTGCCGTCAAGTCTCTGATATCAATGCATGCACACCTCCGATCACGGCATGTTGGAAATCCGCCGAAAGGGGGGCCCGGCTGGAAAACGGACGGAGTGGCGATCGAACGGTTCGAGCCACATGTCGGCCAAGAATTGAGGACATATCGATTCTACCGGCTGCATATAATGATTTTGACACCTATCATTGCTTCTCTATCGTGTAAGAAGGACGAATATTAACATTTGGCAGTTCTCAGAACGTCACCGCCTACCGCCAGGGTGGTGGAAGGCTGGGTGGGACATGGAGGTCGATCGGTGGGACCGTGGGAGAAAGCCGGCAGCTCCACTGTCTGATCGGGGTTCATCGGGTCTGTCTTGGGCAGGGCATTGCGGGGTCTAGTTGAAGGATGGTGCTGTGGACGAGAGTCAACCGCTCCAGGAACGCTGCTTTTGCTCTAATAGATGAGAACTGATGAGAATTCCTATGCGTGGCATTCCGCGTCTGGATGCAAAATTTACGATGGTTTAAGTTCCGATGGTTGCTCTCAAATGCTCTGGGATGCCTTCGCCTCAGACGATCGCAATCGAAGAGACTTGCTCGAGTTCAATGGACCCAGGACTCATCCAGCCCAAATTATGGGAATCCGTTACGTTTGAGGCACAGGTTTACGGCTTAAGAAGGGCGAAGTGGCACCGTAAGACTTGCTACCGAAAGAAAGTTGGAGCTATACACTCTGGGTATGTATTGAATATAAAATGAAAGCGCTCACAAGGAGCCGCTCAACTATTATCGTTGTTTTGACCAAGCATCGCAATTGCCGCCCGGTATGTGTTGGAATTGTACAGTGATCAGCCCAGGATACGAAAGGCTCGACCATCAGATACCCGTCTCTAATCGACCGCGAAGCGCACCGAACGCCCAACCCACCCCTATGATCCAAGAAATCCCATATGAAATCGAGAAAGCAACGCCAATCTCAGCAGCCCAGCCTATGAAAGGGGACCAATCCCAACGCCAACCCTCGTGGACCTCGTAGAAAAAACCGGACCAGTAGATCCAAGAGTCGCTTCAAACGTACGTGAACCCCACGATCCCTGGCCCCCGACTATCGAGCGTATCCATGCTCGCCCGCGGGCTAAACTCTCCATCCGCATCGGCCCCCGCGCTCTGCGGCGACCACATCGCGCTAACATGCTCCCTCTCCTGCGATATCCGCGCCGTCCCTTCCATCCCCGGAACGTATCGCCGCGTTTCTCCCCCGCCGACCCCCCTGTGCGATTCCGGTCTAGAAAATCCGTCGGCGACTGCGCCGCGCTCCCCCGCGTCATCTTCGCCGTACGCAGGCGGCTCGGTTTCCGAGTCGTAGTCGGAGGCGTCGGTGCGGTAGGGGGGGAGGGTGGTGTTGCGGGAGACGCCGGACAGGCCGGACCAGCCGGAGATGGAGCGGCCGGAGGAGGATCCGTCTGAGGAGGCACGGGAGCGGACGGGGGAGGAGGAGGTGATGGAGAGGGCGGGGGAGGGGATGGTAATGGGGCGAGGGCGGTGGGCGGAGGAGCGGTAGGGGTTGGACGAGGTGCCGTGATGAGCGGCTGGTGACATAAATGCGAGATGCGGAGAGATCTGATATGCGGTTTGATGGATGTGATGGGTGGCGGTGGAAGAGGTTCCCGTAGGTCCCGGGTTAAACCCACAAGATTGGCAGACATCGGTGCGAACCATGCTCGATACCACCTCGTGAGCGATCTGTAGTCCTCGGATTTCGTTTTGCATCTCCCGCTCGAGCACATTCTCTTGCTGGCGAACCAACTGTGTTTTTTCTTCGTAATTCATCGTGTCCATTGCTGGATTCTTGCTCGACCTTCGGGAAAAGCATTTGCGCCATTTCGACGGCTGTTGTGAGAGTGCGGCGGAATGGTATTCTCGTGCCGTGCGCGCCTCTTCTCGACGGGCGGCTCGTTCGGCACGTTGGCGGGGGGAGCAGCAGCAGCTGCGGAGGAGTCGGAAGATGAAAGCGAGAGTGACGATGGAAAGAAGGATGTGGAGGAGCGTGATGAAGGGATTGCGTTTGGTGGATGGTTCGGGGTTGCCGAGAACGTGGTAGCCATTGTGGGAGTGGGATGGAGTAGCGCCGGGGACCGCGCATTCGCACCCCTTCTCGCCCTCCATGTCAATTTTCTCCGGAGAGCAGTGGCATGGCGGTGGTGGCTGAATGCAGTTTGATTGGGACTCGAGGTCCGTCTGGGCAGCGGGATGATGCATCTTCACGACGCCCTCACCGGGTTCCTCGTTGAAATGCCACGAAGGGAGCTTGGTATACAGGACTTGAGCCGCGCCGTGAGCCTTCTGAAGGAAATAGTTGACGTAGCAACGGATGCTGTCGCAGTCCCTGAGCTCTTCTTCGGCAATTGGGGCGTCCGGCTTCCCTTGGAGTTCGATCCTTCGTCTCTTCTGTTCGATCAAGCGCTGCAGCAGGGAGAGCTCACGCTCAAGAACCTGAAGGTCTTGAAGATCACGATCTACAGCACTGTTGGAGTCGGAGGGAAGACGTAGGCGGGGTGGAGGAGAGATCCAGTCGCTTAGTGGATCGAGAGCGGTCGCCGACGCGGAGGTGAGGATGGGTTTGGGATCGAGTCTAAGCACCTGGGGTCGCTGGGTCTGGTTGAACGAAAGAGTAAATCCCGAGGACCCTTCAACGGCCTTCCCATTAAATCTATCAATAGCGACCGTGAGGAGCTGCGCAGACGGTGAGGGAGGTTGGTCGGCGGTGTCGGCCTCAGGGCTCAGGCAATAGAAGGCCCATGAAACGTCAAGATACACGACGTGCAGTTGTGAATGGACGGCGATGGGGACGGAACCTTGGCCGATACCAGTGAGGACCAGCGGGGAGGTGGAGACGTCCTCGACACCGGATGTGGCCAGCGAATGTCCGTTGAGGGTGATGTTAGAGTTCGAGCAGACTTGGTCTGAGGAGGAAACACGAAGGTCGAAGAACTAGACACCTTAGTTTGGGAACACATTGTACAAGGCGCAGTGGCAGGTCGGAATATCAACGGTGAGCTGCCGGTTGGATGGAACTGGCACAGCCGGGTAGGGAGGGATACATACAACCAATGGATCGTCTCCGTCGTTTCCACTGTTCTCTGGTTCTGGATCGTCTCTACACCACGGACACGGAACTGGAAATGCGACTTGTGCGATTGAACCGTCTGTAAAGCATGTTCAGTAAGATCGCGAATGTCTGTGGTGAGGATCCTCGGGGGGTGGTACCGTATTGGACAGAGGGGAAGAGTGGTGTGTCAGGGAGAGCAGACGGCGCGCATCCACTGCTCAGATCGTTCCCACGATCTTCCGGCGAAGCAATGCGCCGAATATGAGTCCTCTGAGCTGCCGAATCTACCCAGCTGTTAAGTGCAGCACCGGTTGCAACGGCAGACACACACACAAGACCGGCGAGCGTGACTCGCATGGTCAACTGCTACCTCACTCACGCATGCACCAGCAGCCGCGGGGCGGGAATCAAGCGAAGGAGACGGAAAAGAATGATCTAAGAATGCATGTTTGCGGGGGTTCCTGAGCACGCGATAAACGGACGTTTCTCCTCAGGTATCACGGCGACGAGGAGGTATGGGGCCGATAGCTTGAGACGCGAAGAAAAGGAAGAAGGTGGAGAGGTGAGGAATAGGCAACAGGATTCGAGAAGGGAAGAGTTCGGAGCTCTCAGTGAAGACCGAAGAGGGAAAGTCTCCTGGTCTCAAGTGGTCGGGTTGTCGTCAGCTCCATCAGATCACCATGCAGCGACTTGTCCGGTCAGACTTGTTTAGTGAGTGCTTCCCTCGTATTAATATTGGGGAAGCTAGAGGAATCCGAACAATTGGTTCCTCACTCAGGCTCTCAAACTGTCACACCATACGGAGTTAAGGACATGCAGACTTGCTTCCTGGATGCTGCTGCGCCTCCACCAAAATCCGCTTTCCCCGTGTCCTTTTCGGTTCCTGATCCATTCCGTTTGGGGAAAATATCCATGTTTAATGCCCGATGGACCTTGTCAGCACTAAATGCATGCGAGCGGACGAGACAGAATATAGATGTCCTAAAGAAGTGGTGCAATAAGATCTGGGGCAGCGAAGGATTTTATCTTGATTCTTGGTTCCTCCCTTGCAAACTATTAGAATCTAGAATCTCAAATCTGGATGGTGTCGAATGGTGAATTGGCATAGCTGATGCCTCAAGAAATACCCCGAAAGGCTGGAACATTGAATATTTCCGAATGGAGGACAAGCAGAATCGTCATCCGGATGGGCTGGTGCCTGGATGTCAAGTCGAGGGGGGAACTTATCATGGATGTCACTCCTAAACATATATCCATATGGCGTTCGTGGAGAGAATGGAAATGAGCATCAAGCGTACCGACAACTTAATCAACCCTGACTACAACTTCAAGATCATGCTTCGATAGCAATATTTAACCTCGTTCAATTCATCGGCTCGACGTTCAATCTCTTTGAAATATTCTTGATATTGGTTCTGGTACCTGTAGTACCTGCGACCCTATTTTCTTATATCATCTGATCGAGCACACCAAGCTACCGTGGTATATGATCATCAACATTGTGCTCCTCGCATCCAAGCAAGCCTCCCTTCTCTAAAAAAAAGCCATTAAGGAATCATTCGAAAGATGCGATATGCCGGGCCCAAGCCGTACGGATCTATATGCGCACCCTGAACCCCCAGAAAGCGGTCGCTTCGCGCAGTCGCTGGCGGAATGAACCGTAACAAAGATGGTAGAACAAGGACATGGCCGTTCCCAAAGGCAGTCGCTGCCAATATCGTATCGTGGGCCGTCGCTAGACGGCTTATCAAAAGCCGTCGACCTGAAATCCATCGGCGAACAAATGAAACCATGTCGCTGCGAGACAAGAGGCGAAAAACTGCGCGATGGTGCAACGGGACGTCATCGATGACGGGAGGAAACGTAAGGCGCTCAAAGGACAAAAAAAGTGGCTGGAAAGGGACAGCCATATGCAAAAAGACGGGACGCGGTTGGTGAAGTCTGTGGATGTGCTTTGAATCATGGGGATCACGAACCGGTCTTCGGGGTAACTCTGACATCCTGCCACGTCGGTGAGGTGGGGTATATCTCACAACATCACCTCAAAACATATCGCCGTGGTGATACTGCTGCTGCGGATGATTTCCCCACGACTTCCCCGGCTTCTTCCTCCTCCCCTCGAGAATCTGCTGCTTCAGCGCCGTCTGCGCCTGTCCCTCCACCGACGACGACCCATCCTCGCTGATCCCCGGCGTTGCCCCCTCGGAACTGCCTTCGTCCATCATCCCCACCGACCCCGCCCCGCCGAAGCTCCCCATGCTGAACCGCCGATAATCGTTCCCGGGCAACGGGGCTGCCGCACCCAGCTTCCGCGACACGGCGTGCGCGAACCCGCCGGAGGAGGCGTGCCGGTGCGCTCCCGAAAGGGAGGCTGCGGACGATGACCGCGGCATTTTGGCCACTTCGATTCGTTCGTTACTGTCGATGCGGGCGTGCTTCGCCTTGCGCGCCGAGCCGACGACGCCGGAGGGAGGCTCAGGTTGGAAGAGGAAGGAAGAGCGCTGACTGTGGATGGCGGGGTCATCGAGGTCGTCATCGTCATCGTCCGTGTCGCTGGAGGCGGCGAGCCAGGCATGGGATCCGGAGCCGAACCGGTGAGGATTGGTCGCGGTGCTGGAGTGCGAGTTGGTCGAGGCGTGGCTAGGGGAGGCGGGGGTGGGTTCGGTCTCGGTGCGGGCACGGCCGGATTCGTCGATGACTAGCCGTGTGCGAGGGCGAGGGCGGGGGTTCGATTCAGGGATGGAGGTCAATGCTGCTTGGGAGAGGTGTTTTAGAGGGGAGGGTTTGCGCGGGATGGAGGTGGTGTCAGGAGGCTGTCGGACGGTGCCGAAACGTTGCTCTTGCACGTGGGAGCGCTGGATACGGCGGAAGCCACTGTCGGTGTTGCTACGTTGCAGACCAGGACGAGCCATGAACTGCGAGGGATTGGACGACATGTTATGAGGGGCGCGAGAGTGCTGTTCCCGCGGCTTCCTGGCCGCCTCTCGATCCCGATTCGATTCGCGGGCTTGTTGTTCGTACGGCTGGCGGTTCTCCTGGATGGCACCCATCTGAACATAATGCGGTCTAAATCCCGGTGCATCTGAGGCGGTCGACGTACTGACCAACATGTGTGGATGCACACTAACAGGCGGTTGTTGGACGGGTTGGGCCACTGGCTGTGACGGCATGGCTTGCATCTGGTTGGGGGGCCACATGCCCTGCTGGTGTGCATGGTGGATGGGACTCGACTCTGGAAACGGTTGCTGCGGGATCTGGAAGACTGGACGTTCTCCAAACGGTTGCCATGAGGCCATGTCGGCACGTTGTGGACTGGCACCGAATGGGTCATCGCTCAGCAGCGACGGAGGCACCTCTACGCCATCGGACCGTACATTCTGATCCCAAAAATGCTGCGTGCCATAGGGAGGAGCCGATACTGGCCCAGGGGTTGGGAACTGGAACACATCGGGAGAGAACTGAAGAGGGTTGAACTGGAACGGGCTCTCGAATACGGATCCGCCTTGCGGGAAATTCGAATTAGGGGTCGTGATGTTTCGTTGTGCGCTGGCGGCATGCAATGGTGTGGCAGGCGGTACCATCTGGCCTCCTGGATCTCTCCGACGGGTGGATGAATCCCTTGTGGGTGGGGGCGTCTGAACCTGAAACGGGTTCATGTTAGACGGTCGAACTGCCTGGACTGCCGAGGACGGCCGTAGTTGATTCGACTGGGATACTGGGGATATAGGGAACGACGTATGATGCTGGTTCGTCAGATCAGGAGTCGAATACGGGTACTGAGAGGCCGACGAGTGGTGCACACTCGAACGCAAGTTGGCGGAGTGGGAATTAGGAGCATAGGGATTCACGGGAGCACCCTGCTGCTCTGCTATGGCGTTCTCCGGGCGTTGCCCAATCGCTGGCGTATTTCGTGCTTGCACATACGGGGTACCCAGGGCGTCCTGGAAATGCAGGGGAAAGCGTGCGGGCTTGGGGGTGTCGAAGGTTGAAGGGTCGAAGTTCGACTTCGGGGTGGACGATGGACTGGGTAATTGCCAATCTGAAAGCCTGACATCTGGTCAACTCTGGAAAGTCGCACGGAAAGTGGAAGTGCAAGGTGCAAAGTGCAAAGCAAAAAACAATTGTTTGACATGGCGGATATATCAGAAAGTTTGGGTGGTGCCAGGGTGGAGGGATGGTTTAGGCAAACGGAAATCGGATCACAGGCAGCCGACCCACTTGGAGTGAGACTGGACCTGAGAGGAACCAAGGGAATTGCATTCTCTCCCCTTGCATTGTTGAGCAAACCAAGGAAAGCATTCGAATGGTTCTAGAAGTCGGGTGGGAAATGGTTCAAGTGTTCATACCCGTAGAACTCTTGCTGTTCCGTGTTCATAGCAATGTATGTACCAACCGCTTTGACCGGACCCTACTCCCCCAAGTACCGCTGTTGTAGTCGGGATATGAACCACAAATTGGATGGCTGCAAGTCTGGAGGAGTTGTTTTATATCGTCGGTCGTCTGAGGGAATGTGTAATTCGGATTACAAGCTCGAAGTAAGGTCGAGAGTTTCGAAGGAAGGTCTGTCGATCGGTCTATGTACTTGAAGCGGTTGTCGCCGTGGAATGCTCTATGGCAAGTATCGGATAGGGAATGGAGTCCAGAGTTGAACAACCCGCTCATTTGCGAAAATGGCCACGCAATGAACAGAGTAGCGTCTAAAGCAAACTCAGGATCGACTCTGATTGGGACGGAAGTATCAATTAGCACAGCTGAACGCCTGAGGGGAACATCGAACACGAGGGCAAAGGAGGTGGTAAAGAGGGACTTGAGACGAGCCAGTCACGAGACTGTCCATCCAGTAGACATCGACGTACCGAAATAGGCCGCTGAGGCATAGATAGCGAGTCGCTTGGTCGGAGAGACGGTAAAGAAGACATCTTGGAAATTTTCAGGAGCTTAGAAGAGGAGAAGAGGGCCATGGTGGCATGGACAATTTTTGGGTACAAACATGAAGCCGGGGGGATGCCCGTACTACAGCGGTTCCTGGGACTGGATGGAGAGCCAGTACGGTAAGCGTTGGGTCTGACTTTACGGGAGTACAGTCAGGTAAGTTAAGTATGTGCGTCACAAACCAGCCTCAGGGATCGGGGGTTTAGTTAACTGAACAAAGTTTGTAACGTAGATGGATCTCCTAATGTTGGTAGCGTTCAACAATAGCTTGCTGAGGAGTAGGATAAATCAGAGCTCATCTGAACTTCAAGAGATATCCCCAGCCGTTCCTTCAGCTTGAGAATCAACCGACATTTCCAAGACTTGAAAATAAAGTCTCATCTCTCGAAGTAAGGGCAGCGTATGGTGCAGAAGGAGGAAGGTTGTATCAAAAGGCGATGGGCACACGACAGGATCCTCCAATCAGGGTGCGGATAGGGGAGAACAATCGTCCAAGCTAAGAAGAAACAAATCGACGCCTTGCTTCGCATGGCAAGAATCAGCCGGGGGTACCCCTCTATTGGTACAGGAACTACAGGTAGTGTATCAAGCTATTCGAACGGAAATCCAGTTTCGCTGACTGGGCAGTGGGCACAGATCGGAGATTCATACGGACGCAGGAGACGGGAAAAGATCGCTGCAATCCATGGGTTCCTGGAATTCCCCATCGAACGAGCCCGACGAGCCAGTGTAAGGCTGGAAGGTCTTGACTTCGACCGGGGGTTAGACACTAAAAGTTCGTATCATCAATCAAGGCCATCAGAATTCAGATGTGGTCATCCGTCATGCCTGTCCTTTCTCCTGAAGGCTGAACGCCATTGAGGGCTCTGCATTCCAGAGCTTGCAAGCCATGGTGAACCTGCGATCGGTTGGAAGGTGGCGAATTTGTGATAGGTTATCTGCTGGTTCTCCCTTCCCATACCCAGAGTGTCCAGCTCGGATGAACCAGAATTGCCTTGATACGGCCCGGAGTTTGTTTGAAGGATCCGTAGGGGCTAGATGGAATTGGGAAAGGTGAGGGGTTAGGCGATATAAACGGGCGCTTACCAGCCTATCAACCCCAACCCTTCGGTTTCGCTCTCGGCTGAGCATCTCGATCTCCTTGGAAGCTGTAACCAGACGCAATTGTCCTTTCCAATAGTCGAGCTCCTTATGAATGCCCCTTTCTATCCAATTCCAGGGCAGATATTTCACAGCTGCACGACACCTCAGCAAGCTACCGTAGCAACCAAGCTACCGTAGCAGGATGTCCCACCGTCGGAGCCGGAACAGAGCAAACCGTGGGGACGAAACAAATTTCTCTCCATGCCCCTCCGACCTAAGCTGCCAATGACATAGCATGGAACGATCGATTCTCGCCGGCAATTTTGAGGCCGGTTCTCTCCTGGATCAGAATTCAGACCTTCACATCGGTTGCCCTTCAGGCTTCAGTTGCACTATGTAAATTGCACAAGTTAGGGACGATCGGACGACAGCCGTGTGTCCTGGATAGATATGGAATCGGCGTCCGCGAAAGCGAGGAGTTCTGCCAAATATCCTTCTCGAACTCCGATGTCCTTCGTCTTCGGCCGCTAAAATAGATGACATCCTTCCACCGTTCGCAAACAAGCACCCCGAAGCACGGAGCGAAGAGAATTGTCTGCAGACAGCATGGCTCAAGAGTTAAGACCAGCCAGTAAACTAATATTAATATGTCCCGAGCTGTGGATATTTAATACTAGATCTACACTGAGAGCTCGGCTAGGGGCTAATTACTGGACATAAGTAAGCTCACTACCGCCTTATACATTATTACTCAGCAGAGATTGGCTTAACCCGGAACTCCGAGTACAAACTTTGTAACTTCGCGATTACAGATCACCCCTTCACTCCTAAAGTCCTAATTAGGTGCTTAATAGCCAAGACCCTTACTACTTACTCCGAACTCATTAATGTAATCTACTCAAGAAGTCATGGAGAAAATTAGATGCTCTCAATGCGACAAGTCCTTCAGCCAAAGTACGTAGTCGGCCACACCCTCCGGTCACCAGGATTGACACCAACTGTGCAGCGTCATCCCTTGTTCGACACATTAGAAACAAAAAATGCGAGAAAGGCTCAGTCGTCATTCGTCAGAAATCCTGTCAGAAATGCTCGGATTCGAAAACGAAATGCGATTTACGGAGACCAATATGCAGTCGTTGTTCACTAAGAAGCCTTACCTGCCAATACCCCAGGTCCGACGATACAAGCTCGAACAGCAACTCGGATTCCCGTGAAGTTGTCTTTTTTGATACCTCCACTAAAGCCACTCCTCTAGACCAATTTCTGGACAATCCTTCGCTATCTGCCAGTCCCCGAACTTTGACGCAAAGAGCAATAGACAACCACACATCTAATACGTTGTTTGATATTGTACACGGAACAATAGGCGACTTCGAAGATTTCTGTACCCCTTGGACAATCGGCCATTCAATTCCAGACCCCATTTTCCAGCCGGATCTCTCATTGATGCCGTCGATCACGACCAGGCCAGTTCTGGCGACGCACAGCATGCAAACCTTGTTTCGTTGTCTGCGAACATGGCCCCGTATGATAGCTAAGGGCATCTTGTCTCCGCCAATTATCCACGATACAGTGACACCAGAACGTCTTATGCCAACGGCTTTGGCCAGATGCTATACCTTGACCAAAATGTGGGATGGACAGTCTCCTGGAACAAGCTTCATGGTGCTGGAAGCAGTTAAAAATGAAATTCAAACCCTGGTCGATACAGTAAGGTGGCTCTATGTTTCCATGTCCGATTGTTCTGACCTGTATTAGTATCAAGCCCTAACGGAAGACAATCTCATTCCAGCCCTCCAAGCCCTCGTAATTTACACCATTATTTTGCTCTTTCCTTCCAAATCTCAACGCTCCGTCACATTGCTCCCCGAGTCCCTATTTCGTGATCTCAGGAACGTCGTCTACCACAGCGTCACTACTGGCCTCATCTTACCAGAAGAATCCACCCACGAGCGTCCAACCTGGTCGTCCTGGATCCATGTGTCATCCAAACGTCGTGCAATCTTCGCTTTGTATCTTATCCACTGGTCTTACTCGGTTTACCATTGCCTGCCGAGCTATGACTGTAAAGATTTGGGCATGATGCCCGCACCAGCGGCGGGGTATCTTTGGCATGCCAGAAACCAGGAGGAATGGGAAAAGCTCTACTTGAAATGGCTGGTGATGTGGGATGGGAAAGAATATATGCAGTGGGAGTACTTTACCATTCAGTCTGGGGTGGGTCTGGATGGACGAGCCCAGCTGTGGTTAGAGGACGCGGATGAATTTGGTATCATGTTCATGAGCATTGGTAAGGCAATTTCCTGGATATCATGACGGCTTGCGAACCAAAACTAATGCCGGTCGGTTGTAGTCAATGCGACTGATAGAGAACCCAGATTTGAAGCCGAGCATCTATCTTAAGGTATCACCGAACTCCTTAGCTCGAAACCATATCTACGTCTCATTCGTCTATCTCTCCGCATCGACAAGTTCAAGGTATTGCTCAAACACACCCTTCATCATTTCCTCAAATGTCGAAAACTTCCAGCCAAAAACCTGCTCGGTTTCTCGAGCATCGACCCTCCACGTCATAGTTGGCAACGTTCCACCCAACGGCATCTCTTCGCTTCCCACTCGGTCTGGAAAATACTTCTTAGCCACTTCATTCATGGAATCCCACACTATTCCCTCTGGTGACTCGGCACAAAGAGTATAATCAACATTCCCAGGAATCGACGGGTTGATGGCCTCGACTTGCGCTCTCGCTACATCGGTTAGATCGACTGGAACGCCAACCATGGAATCGGTTCGCTTTTCTCCGAGGATAGGGGACAGTCTCAACGCCCATTGATTCGTATGATTCCTCAGATCCGCTGTGCTCGATGCACGATCATCCGAGCCCATAACAACGCCAGGGAGCATTTGAATTGTCTCGAAGTGCGGTTTACGAGTCTCAACGAAGTCATGCACAGCGTTGCGGGCAAGTGCTTTTGAAGTCCAGTACGCTTCCATGGGAAGTGAGACTGAACGGCGTGGATTGAGATTGCGATCTTTGGCCGTATAAATCCGACCCTCAGGTTTGGCGAACCATTCAAAGGGAATTAGAGTGGTCATCGAGGATGTAATGATCAATCTCTTTATGGTAGGCACTTTGATCGCAGAATTGAGGAGAGAAGTAATCATTCCGACAGCTGGACTAATGATGTTGCGTTCATAGTCGTCGGCCTTTTCTGTTGAATTAGCATGTAGAAACAATCTCAAGGCAACCTCGAAAGTATTCGCTTACCGCTCTATCTAAAGGGCTAGCAATATGCAAAATAGCCATAACATCCACAAGGACATGGTCCAACGCGCCGTCCTTGGTCAAATCTGGCACGACCGCAAACTCCAGTCTGTCCGTATGTGGAACAATCTTGACATGAGTCTTCAATTTCTGAGCTTGCTCAGGTTTCCGTATGACTGCTCGCACGGTATGTCCAGCTTCGAGGGCTAACAGGAGTGTTTTGAACCCAATGAACCCCGTTGCTCCCGTGATCTACACATGGGTTAACTATGGCTGTATCAACGTAGTACGCCGTGAGACATACTAAAACTATTTCTTGCATATTTGAAATATCTGAAAGGTTGGTTTGGCTGGTTTTATTTGATGACAGTGAAAGATAAAGCAATTAACAATGCTGCTCAAAGTTGACTGGAGAGAGCATATAAATACTACCTAAGCTAGTTCTCGGGCTTTAGGGTTCAGCCCATAAAACCTGAATCCCGAAATACCTATCTTAGCATAATTGGACTCACCTAAGAGTCCGCCTCACGATGAGTAAGATTAATAAGCGCCATTTTAAATGAGATACAGATATTTGAAGGTCCTGAAGCATGATGCCGTGCATGGTGGTGGGAAAACCTATATATCCTCTCACCTTTGATTGAAGTTCATTGAGCATTCTAACCAAAATCATATTCGGCATTATAACTACCCTATTGTTCCTTTCATCTCCGGTCCCCAACACAAGCTCAGCAATGGGGAAATTAATGATATACGGTGCCACTGGCTACACCGGCCGCCTTGCGAGCGAACATGCAAAGAGCATCGGCCTTGACTTCATCCTCGCCGGCCGAACCACTCAGAAACTCCAAGACCTCGCCTACTCCCTCAGCCTCTCATACCAGACCTTTGATGTACATGACAGCGTTGCGCACGTCGATTCCGCCTTGAAAGATATCGAGGTCTTTCTCAACTGCGCCGGCCCGTTTCATCGCACGGCCAAGCCCCTCATGGAAGCCTGTATCCGCAATGGTGTGCACTATCTCGACATTGCTGCCGAACTGGAGAGTTACGAGCGTGCCGAGGAATTGGGTCAAGAGGCCAAAAAGGCGAAGGTCATGCTTATGCCCGGTTGTGGCGGCAGCGTCGCAATGCTCGGCTGCTTGGCTACGCATGTCCTGGAACAGATGGACTCCTCCGCCAGCAGCATCGATATCGCACTGCACGTCTCGGGTCAAATGTCGAGGGGGTCGGCCATCAGCGCCCAGGAGGGAGCCATGGTGACAGAACGTCAGGACATTGGTGGGAAGATGGTGCATCAGGATACTGCAAGCGAACAGGAGTTCGATTTCGGCGACGGCAGAGGACGTGTGATGTGCTTTCCGATCAAGTTGCCTGACCTGATAACAATATCGAAGGCCACAGGAGTTTCCGCTGTCCGCACATTTGCCCATGTATCTGGGGCTGCCTTCCCAACTGGAGATCTCATGGAGTTACCAAGTGGTCCAACTGCTGAGGAGCGAGAGGCAAATCCGTACCACGCTGCTGTCGACATCACGGCTGAGGATGAAACAGTCAGACACGCAGTCCTTCACACAGTGAATGGATACTCATTCACCTCGATTGCTTCCATTGAGGCTGCCGTGCAAGTACTGGCTGGTAAATTTCTTCCCGGGTTTCAGACGCCAGTGGAGGTATTTGGCAGTGGCTTTGTGGAGTGTATTAAAGGATCTACCATTGCAAATTGTTAGAAGGGAGCTTCAGACCAGCAGTCTCAATTTTTAGATAGATAGTCATACGCAAGAGGTCGAAATACCTTCCCAGCAAACAGAATCAAGCCTTATCTTAGCGTCATCGCGGTATCTCTTGGTCACGACCGGGTTTCGGAGACCAGAAGGCAGTACTCGACAGACATCTGGCGGTTGCGAAATGTGAGAGAACGCTTGGCGTTTTTTTGAGTGTGTGTGTGTCCCGCCCGCAATTCCACCAGAAAACGCGATATCGCCCATTTTATGACCACAACGCGCTGAATTCGGGGCTCAAATGTCTGAAATGTATATATTCCTAGAGAACTAATATAGTTTAAATTACTGACGCGATTTTAGCCAGCCTTTAGAGCTGCAGTATGACTACCATGGCGTAGAAGACACGAAACGCGCTCAATGCATTAGATATTTCCTCCTAGGTTGGTCACCACAAGCTATTGCAGCGGAAACTGGCCTAGGAGTTTCTACTATCTACCG